CCAATGCCGACTTCGAAACTCCGGAAGTGTTTCCACTTTTGTGCATCAGACTTTGCATATCAATTACTAACAGTAGACAGAACGGTTTTATATCTGAATTTTTCCTTAGATTCAACATTGTGATATTTGGTGGGATTGATGGTTTCTCTAGGAAGGTACTGTCAAAGTCTGAATATGGTTTGTTTTTACACTTGAAAGGTTATAGCAATGTTCTATTGAAAACTTTGTTTAATTTTCTGTGTAAAACTTTCTCTTGGACCCCTTTTTTATAGATCCTGTATCTTGATGCTGCTGCAAACAAATCATCGACCGCCTTCTCATTCTTTTTGGAGGGTGTTCACAAACATGGGTGGCCGTCAAGGTAAAAATATCTTTACTACATGTTGGTCATCATGATTTATCAGTGTCTGAAACTATGGTTCATGACAATGGGGAAGTCGTGGCCTAATGGTTAGAGAGTCAGACTCGTAACCCAAAGGTTGCGGGTTCGAGTCTCGTACCGGCAGGGATTGTAGGTGGGGGGAGTGAATGTACAGCGCTCTCTCCCACCTTCAATACACCTTCACCTCCCACTTGAGCAAGGCACCGAACCCCCAACTGCTCCCCGGGCGCCGCAGCAAAAATGGCTGCCCACTGCTCCGGGTGTGTGTTCACAGTGTGTGTGTTCACTGCTGTGTGTGTGCACTTTGGATGGGTTAAATGCAGAGCACTAATTCCAAGTACGGGTCACCATACTTGGCCACATGTCACTTCACTTTCACAAATCTGCTGTCAGATCGCTTCTTTGATAATTCATAATAAGCGATCATTGCTCGCATGAACAAGCACTGATTTGCCTCAGATTTCAGGCTTTTGTTAGCAGCCTACAAACTGAAAGTGATTAGTCAGGGCTAAAATCAGTAGTGTGTGCTTAAAATTAAACAGAGTTAGAGTAACTTGTAAAACAGTTTAAAGCTCATTAACTGTGGGTTTGTATTGCTTAAATCTCTTCCGGAGTACGTGGTGACCAGGGAGTTGAAAATGTGGAAATTGCACGTTGCATGTTTTCTGTACGAGGAACTGGCAGAGGCAGCTTCATTTCTGGAAAAAGCGTGCACAATCAAAGGTACAAGCCACAGGTCCAACCATTAAAAGCTGCATCTCAGGCTCTTTATTTCTGGTGGGCCACAGTAACGTGTCTTACCCAACATGATGCCACACACAAACATCTCTAATCAGCTGAAACACCTTAAATCTAATGTTGAAAGCTCACTGTCCATGAGCAGATTGTTTGCCAAATCTCAACTTAAAGGAGTGGTTACGCTACACTATTTGTTCTATTGACTACCCATTTAGTTGTGGGAGACTGAAAATGCGAGCTCATGCAAATAATTTTCTCATATTGCTGTTAGAAAGTGCAAGTTTGGTGAACTCTTTCCTCGAATTCATGTCGTGTGAAGATGTGACCGACAGAAGATCAACATGTCATGCTGTGACCTCTAAACTGAATTAAAATAACACCACCTTTAAAGCTGCTGGTCTGCAGCATCACAGGAAAGTGGAGTAGATTGTATGTTTTTACAATCTGAATTTCTACAGACACTGCAACAATCAGTATGACGTCACACTCTACAGCACCTTGTATAAGTGCATACATTCAACATCAAAATAAATACAAATTGTTAAAACATACAATCTACTCCACTTTCCTGTGATGCTGCTGCCCTGCAGCTTTAAAGTTTGTGTTTTTTTAATTCATTCTGTCGGTCACACATTTTCATGTAATATGAATTTAAGGTCAGAATTCTCCAAAATTGAACTTAGGAACGCACCAAAATGTGCATGAGCTTGAGTGTGTTGTCTCTCATATTAACATGGTTATAAATGGAAATCACTGAAGTGGGAAGTATAGTGTGAACAGCTTTTACAACCAGAGATGCAAACTTGTCACCTTTCGGCGAAATTCGCCATTTTTAATTTAAAATAGGTCATTATTGTGATTTGTCTAGATCTGATGAGTTTTAGAGGGGGGGGGTTGCAGAGTCATGGTGAATGACTTCAGGCTTGTTCGAGATGCATCGGCGCTGCGCAGTCCTATCAACGTATTACATCAAAGTACCGCGAGAGCATTTTGGAGAGCATACGACTCCTTATGCTTTTGAAACGTTCTCGCGGTAATTTGATGTCATACGCCGATTGGTCTGTGCATAGCCCATGCAGATCGAACAAGCCTATCAACAGACTCATGCCTTCTTAAGTTACTCATTCACGTGAGGTTGCTGTGTTGCGTGGTCACTAAAACTTATAATTTGCATGCTCATTTTTTTGTCACCTTTTTCACACCTAACGAGTTTGCATCCCTGTACAACTGAGGAAAGGGGTCTAACCCCATGCATGGTAAACATGGAGGATTAAATGGCTTTCAATGTTCCCATGTTACCGCAGGTGATAGTTTCAATTTCAGATACATTTCCTGAAGATTCTTTCGAACTTGGAGAGAAATTAATTAGACCCCTTTTTAATTCCCCTGGGATGTCAACATGATTTGGTACAGCAATTGCCAATGTTCTTGCGGAGCATATTATGTCTGAAAGGGTTAGTTCACCCAAAAATGAAAATTGTCATTTACTCACCCTTATGTTGCTCCAAACCCGTAGGACTGTTGTTCATCTCCAGAACACAAATGAAGTGCTTTGTTTGTGCAAAAAAAAAAAAAAAATTTAATTTACTAATTAATTAACAAAATATTAATCTTCAATGCACGTTCGCAAGAGCACCGTACTACATGAGGTTAAAATGAGGCCTTGAAAGTAGTAGTCATGTTGGCTGTTACTGGTGGGACAGAAAGCTCTCTTTGAAAAGATAACATTTTAAAGATCTTCATTTGTGGTTAGAAGATGAAAAAAAATTTAATTTACTAATTAATTAACAAAATATTAATCTTCAATGCACGTTCGCAAGAGCACCGTACTACATGAGGTTAAAATGAGGCCTTGAAAGTAGTAGTCATGTTGGCTGTTACTGGTGGGACAGAAAGCTCTCTTTGAAAAGATAACATTTTAAAGATCTTCATTTGTGGTTAGAAGATGAACAAAAGTCTTAAGGGTTTGGAACGACATGAGGGTGAGTAAATGACGACAGAATTGTCATTTTTGGGTGAACTAACACTCTAAAAGTGCACAACTGCACCACATCTGGTGGTCTTCAGCCTACCTGCCCCTAATGTTGATATGCCACTAATTTGGGATACTATCATACTTCACATGATTTACTATGGACAAACTGTTTGCTTTTTTGTAAGCTATGTTTTGACCATACTAATGTGTCTTTTTATTTTAGAATTGAGCGTCTATGGTGCCATGTTTGGTCAGCTGTCTCTTGTAAATACTATGAAGTACTGCATGCAATGGAAGAAGAGAGAGTGCTTGATTTGTCAGATGAACTGCACCTCTTTTGTGTGCACTATGCCATTCTTCCACGGCTGAAATTTGACTTGAAGTGCTTCATGGGTAGCTGGAAAAACCATCCCATCAGAACAGAGGGAAATCTTTCACCAGAACAGCTTTGGCACATTGGAATGTTGCAGACACCAGTGGCTGAGCCAGATTTAGAGGTATGCTTTAAGCATTTATGCAAAGTTAGGATTCAACATCCAAAAACTATAATTCTGTCTTCATTTCCTTAACCTTAAAGGGTTAGTTCACCCAAAAAGGAAAATTCTGTCATCATTTACTCATCCTCATGTTGTTCCAAACACGTAGGACCTTCGTTCATCCTCAGAACACGAAGATCTTTTTGATGAAATCTGAGAGATTTCTGTACTTACATTGACAGCCTACACAGCTAGCACTTTCAAGGCCAAGAAAGGTAGTTAAAGCATCATTAAAGTACTCTATGTGATTCCAGTGGTTTAACCTCATTTTTATGAAGCCACGCCAGTGCTGTATTTGTGCAAAAAACAATTTACAACTTTATTACAAAATGTTGTTATTCAAAGCACATTCACGCAACAACGTCTGCTTTGTGTCAACACAACACGCATGTGTATTGATGCTTAATACACCTTAAAGAAAAATATTTTGCAAATAAAGTGGTAAATTATGTTTTTTTGTTAATTGAGGTCAAACCACTGGAGTCAAATGGATTACTTTAAAGGGGTCATATGATGCTGCTAAAAAGAACATTATTTGGTGTATTTGGTGTAATGAAATGTGTTTATGCGGTTTAAAGTTCAAAAAACACATTATTTTCCACATACTGTACATTATTGTTTCTCATCTATGCCCCCCGCCTTTCTAAGGAAAAATTGAAATCGCATCATATGACCCCTTTAATGATGTCTTTACTCTGGGCCCTGAAACTAATAGTTGTGTAGGTTGTCAATTGAGGGACAGAAATCTCTTGGATTTCATTAAAAATATCTTCATTTGAGTTCCAAAGATGAAAGAAAGTCTTGCGGGTTTGGAATGACATGACGAATGACAGAATTTTTAGATGGACTAACGGTACATGCACACTGGCGCGAAGTAGACTGAGCATTTTCAATTCATTCCTTTAGAAGATGAGCTTCACACCCATGCTCAACTTCCATAGGAATGAACTGAAAATGCTTGCTCTGCTCTGCTCACTCCATGCCAGTGTGCATGGACCGTAATGCTTTAAATAATTGAAAACGCATATGAATTTCATTCTTCAGTGGGCAAGGTATTTGGCACAGTTTAACTCTTGTCATTCAGTGTAAATGCTTACATGGACAAATGCATTCTGTCAACCACTATGTGGCACATCTGAAGTTTGATTAATTATGGTAATGCACTGTAGTAATAATCTACACTGTCAAATAGGCCACTCCAGACTAAGCCATACATTATTAACAGGTAAAGATCCTCCTTTACGCCCCTCTTGCCAATCCATTAAATTTGACAGACTGTGATGGCATGAAGTCTACTTTTCAGTTGACTCTTATGAAAACATTTTTAATGATGTAAGACCAGATTTAATTTTAGAATATTTATTCGCTGCATGCATGTGTGATCAAACTCAACAGTTATTTTAAAGGCTTGTCTCTCTGACAAGCCTTTAAAATAACTGTTGAGTTAAAAGGCTTGTCTCTCTGACAGAAGCAGGTGCCTATGTGCTTGACCAGTCAGCCACTGCATCACCCGTGGGACAGAGAGTGCCTCCTCATCCTGAGTATCGCCATCTAGGGCAGTAAAATATACAATATGTATTTAAGACATTTAATGACATTACTACATATAGTACTGCTGCTTTAGAAAACTGCAAGTTTACAGACAAGGTTAACATTAGAACAAACGGTATTAATAAAGCCGTTTCTTTCCCTTTTTCCTCTCACCATTTCTTGTACATTAAAGTACCAGTCAAAAGTTGGAAACATTTAATGTTTTTGAAAGAAGTCACTTGTGCTCACCAAGGGTGCATTTATTTAAAAGTACAGTAAACGCACATTTCAATTTCAAATAAGTTTTCTATTTTAATCATTTTAAAAATGTAATTTATTTCTGTGATCAAAGCTGTATTTTCAGCATCATTACTCCAGTCGTCAGTGTCACATGATCCTTCAGAAATCATTCTAATATACTGATTTGATACAAACATTTCTTCTTCATTATTATCATCATCATCAATGAAATCAGTTTTTGCTGCTTAAAATATTTGTGGAAACAATGAAACCATTAAAATATTTTTGGTAAGATTAAAAAAAGATGAATTATTACTTTTATTCATCAAATTGATCAAAAGTGACAGTGAAGTTTAAATGTTACAAATGTAATATAAAATTAACAAACATATTAAAAAAGTATCACTATGTTATTCAAATGTTAACCGTTTTCAATATTGATAATAATCATAAATATTTCTTGAGCATCAAATCAGCATATTAGAATGATTTCTGAAGGATCATGTGACACTGAAGACTGAAGTAAATGATCTGTGATCAATCAGTTATCAGACATATTTTGTAATCAATGTCTGTGAAAATACTCTATCAGTGGACTTCTATAATAAACATTTGCATTCATTGACATCTGAAGTGAATACGAACTTACCTTCAAGCTCCATGAGAAAATCCTGGACGTGATTCAGGATTTTCACCTCTTTGGCATGTTTTAGAGTGCCACTCTCACTCATTTGTGGGACTAGATGTGACATAATGTAATGGGAGTCCACCTGAAGAACATGCCAGGAAGACAGAAAATGGCAAACATTATCTAAACAGCATGCAGTATAGAAAGAAAAAAATAGGAGTTATTTTGTGCTCTAACATTTTATAACAGCAATGCAAATAGTAGGTTTTTGAAATCACCTTATCATCACCACCTTGCACAACAAAGAGGCTGCGGCACACTTCTCTGTTCTTCTCCATGATGTCTATCAAATTGTAAAGTTGTAACCCTTCACGGAGCTGCTGAAGCATGAGGCTTCGACGAGCAGCTGCATGCATCACAATTGCTCTTTACAGAAATAGAACAAACAAATTTCAGTCAATGTTAATATCTAATCGATTGTATTCTCTATGGAAGATATATTTAAAACTAATGCATAGAGTAAAACCTTGTTATTTTCTCCTTGTTGTCCTCGTTTATAGGCCCTGTGTAGCCACAGTTGACAATCTGTTCTTTGTAAGATGACAACTCTGAAGTCTCCTCAATCTAAAAAGAGTTAAAAGGGGGAAAAAAAACACGGTGTTAAACATCTAAAAAAAAGAATACATGGCAACAGAAAGACACTAAGACAATTTGTTTTAGGATACCATTTTAATCAGTGGTGAAAACTCAGCATCGTAAACGTTATCCTTGGTAACATTTTCAAGGGTTCCACTCAACAGAAAATCATAACACCAGCCCTGTAGAAATCTTGGAGCTGGGCCACCCTGTACAAGGCTAACATCAAAAACTTCCCCAGCAACTCTAAAATGACAATGAAAAAAGAAATGCAGTATAATACAATTTTTCCAGTTAGTGTGATATGAATCTTACATGTTTAAAATGCATTTTGCTTTTGAACGGATAGTTCACCCTGAAACAAGTTCAATTTCTTTCCACAGAGAAGGCTCACTTAAAGGGATAGTTCACCCAAAAATAAATTTCTGTAATCATTTACTCACCCTCAAGTTGTTCCAAACATGAATTAATTTCTTTGTTCTGTTGAACAGAAGAACATATTTTGAAGAATGTTTGTAACCGTAACCATACCGTTTTCGGGCACCTTTCACTTCCATGGTACTTTTTTTTCCTACTATGGAAGTCAATGGGGCCGAAAACTGCTGGGTTACAAACATTCTTCAAAATATCTTCTTCTGTGTCCAACAGAACAAAGAAATTAATTCATGTTGGGAACAACTTGAGGGTGAGTAAATGATTACAGAAATTTATTTTTGGGTGAACGATCCATTTAAGTTTGGAATGACATGAGTGTGAACATCTGACAACTTTCATTCTTAGGTGACCAATTCCTTTGATGAGAAACACTTACCGAAACAGGCCATTGTCAACATCATTCAGGGAATATTTTGGCATTTTGCCTTTGCCCTCCTCCCCTTCAAAGACCCTGGTCTCTATGCTGCCAATCAATTCTATAGACAGGGGGGAAAAAAACAACAACAACAAAAAAAAAACAATGTAACCAGAACAAATTAACAAGAAATCCAAAGTATGTACAAAAAAATAAGTACAAAACAAAATCCTGACCTGTCAGGAATTATTTTCTCAAAGCCCCAGTGTCTACTCCAGCCTCTCCTAAGAAAGTAATCTTTAAAGTGTTGACTGGGGAGATTAACTTTTGTCGCCTCCAAAGTAACAGACTTCGTTCCACAAAATTAATTCTGGACACACAAATGCAGAATTCCTTGGAGGTGTCAACTTGAGCCGCTAGCCATCGTAGGACATCCTCCTCACTGTAAATTGTTTTTATATTCAAAGGTTAAATCTTTTAAATATTCAGCATGGAATGGCTGAGACAGCATTATAATAAAAAAAGTTATAAAATTATACAAGTACATTATTACATATCAATGTTCATGTTACTTTTTATGTACCATGACATCTCTTCATTTTGTGGATCCATTGTATCAGGGCTCTTCGATTGAAGGGACACTGGACTAGGAAGAAAATGTAATTGTGAAAATATAATACTGTTCATGTGAAGTAAAAACATTTAATTCAGTGCTTTAATATATAGTTAAAGTCTCATCTGCCATATAAACATACTTTTGAAATCCAATGTTCTGACTCAAGATCTAACTAGAAATGTCAAAATCTACATCACATCATGCAGCACAAAATTACACTGCTGTTTCTACACTGCTATGTGTGTATTGCATTACCTTTCCAAGTCACCACAGTAACTTGCATGGACCTCCAATTCCATCATAGGAAAAGTGTATGCATACAGGACACTTTGCATCTGTCGACTAAAAATAAATTATGTAAAATACAAAATAAAAGCAGTCAGAATGATGTTATCCCATACAAGTAAATTACCTTTTCTTCAAATGCTGGTGGTGAATCAGTTTCCTGGTAATAGACAAAAACATTACATTTAAACAAAAAGTTCCAGATGCAGTCTACAGAAGTTACTCAAGAGGTTATCAATTATCAAAAAAAAAAAAAAAATCTGGGTCAAGAGTCTGAAAGTGTTTCACATTTCAGAGCATCACATTCCCTGACACGCAGAGCAAGAATCTGCAATGGCATTATTTTATAGCATTTCTTGCATTCTGCTTTTGGCATTAAAGAAAATTCCTGGGCATCAGATGGAAGGGGGGATAATTCAAATTCATCCTGTAAAGGGACAATATAAATCATGGTCTTCCCCCACCTCCAGTTGCACATCTGATGGTACTGCCACAGTACCCTTCCGACTCTGGAGGAACAAGATTCAGCCGCCTCCTTCCCTGTCCACCTGAATAATAAATATTACAAATATGTATAACTAATGTTTTATATATCATTGTCATCTTTTAACATTAGTCTTACAAAGTGCTTTCTGGAAAACATTTAAATAAACTCACATGCACAAAATAAAGTGTTAAAACAAGAATATAAATTAACCTGATAATCATACTAGTAATGCACTGATATTAGTTATACTGGAATTTGGCTGATAATGGAGGTTAAAAAAGCTTATTTACATGGAGTTCTAAACCTGACTTTTTGATAGTCAAAAGCAAAATAAGATATCCTGAAGAATGTCCGTTTTGTTTTTGTCCATATAATGAAAGTGGGAGTAATGGGGAGTAAAGGGATTTTTGAACAAAACTGACTTTCATTGTATGGACATAAACAGCTCAGCCATTCTTCAAAATAATTTAATTTAAATTAAATTTTAATTACTTTTCTGGTCACTGTGTGTTAATTAACTTTGAATTATGTTTAATTGCTAAAAACATGAATATTGACTATACCAACCTATTTAAATGTACATACATAAATGGAATGACGTGCATATTTACATTAAACTAGTTGCCTTGTGTGATACTCTGAATCTAGTTACTTTTATTATACTGAATTGGTAGTGGTGTCAAAATCATACCAGTTGACTTATAGAGAAGCCATCCTCCGGACGCTGATTTCATTTTGGGGTACGCATCTGTAAATAAGTTGGAAACCTAAAATCCAAATTACAACAAATCATTACAAATAAAGTTACTCTAATATTTGCTGAGAGAGTGAAGCATAGTTTTTAATTAAGTAAATATGTATCACCTCTGAGTCAAATCATCATTCATTGAGAGATTTCATTTTCCCAATCCTGCCTGCATGAGTTGAAGTTCCTCAGCTGGTGAAGGGGTCATTTCAGAATTTTTACTTAACAGGAACACTGAAAACATCAATGGTTTCCAAGATCTACAGAACTTTGTGGGTTTATTACAGCTGGGTAGACGTCTTTTGGACCCACATTTTTTTTTTAATCCTGGGAAAGACCTTCAAGAAATGAATAATAGAAAAATTAGTTAAGGAAAACTTATAGAACAATTCTGTGTTTATCAGAAACTCAGTAGACCTCATAATTTTCTCTGACTATTACTGTGACAGAGTGCTTATGCAACTCTATTGTAAGTCGCTTTCGATAAAAGCATCTGATAAGGGAATGTGAAAAATTTGTATTGCAAACAGGAAGTATCATTGTTTTTAGTCATGTCTGCAAACTGAAACCTGGCCATGTCTTGTTCCACAGTCGGACACTGCCCCTGACTCGTGCTGGTTTTGCCCAGCGAATGGTTAAACACCTCTATGATGTTATGTATAGCTGATGCAGCATCAGCACCAAGGTTTGAGCCTTGCTGCAGAATAAATATCAGTCTGAGATCTTTGCTAAAAATACACGCAACATCCTTGAATATATTACATATCATCACCTTGGAATTATAAGGTTCTCTCTCACATTTTTGTCAAAATTTAGTTATTCACATTTGTATTTTGTGACAACTTATTTACATTATGTGATTTTTAGGTTCTATCTACAAAGGAGTATGGTATGCAAAAACTTTGAAGCTCAATATCTCAAAACTGCTCAGAAAATTATAATTCCAAGGTGGCAAAATGTTGGGGTATAAAGAGCAATCAAGGTAACGTTAACGTACTGAATCAAACTACAGTACATAACATAAGTGCACTGCAGACATGTAAATAACAAACCTATACGTGACAAACACTTAACAATCTAAATAAAGACACAACTGTTGCATTCTGCACAGGAATAAAACTTATATCTCGATTTATTTTTATTTTATTTATCTTAGTTACAACAAACTTACCTCAGGCTGCCTCGAATGTCCTGCTGAGGAGGATGTTGACGACGCTCCGTGAGCCTCCCGATTACTCATCTCGAATAACCCTAGTCTTCTTCTTCTGATGTGGAAAATATCCGTGTTTTATCATTAATGTTCTTTAATATACTCTTATTACCATTAGTGTAGACTACTTACAGCTCCACAGTCCAGACATGCGCACGCGCCACTGAAAAACTACTTCCGGTTCAATGAGCCGCCGATCAAAATCTCACGAGCCAATAAGAGCGAACCGCTGTTAAGCCCGCCCTCACGAGAGGTTTGTGACAGAATGGCGAACGTAAATTTGCGAAGCGTAAACAAAAACTTGGAAAGCGAAAAACGAAAACGCTGGCAGCGCATTCAAAACTGCGTTTAGCGAAAGTGAAATCAACAAAGAAAGCAGTTTATTTGAAGACGATGTTACTTTTTTTGCTATTTAGTTTATTGTTTTTATTTTCAGAGTGTTTTTCTCATTTATCAATGTTTTTTTTGTTCGTTTTCGTAAAAGTTTCGTTCGTTTTATTTGGCACAAATCTGATTCCATGCTTATAGGCCTACTCAATGCGGTGAATTCACGTGTTCAAGTTAACAAACTTGAATGAATCGGAGGTGAGACCATTGGGGAAGCGAATTCCACCCGATTCCTAGTGATGATGGTGTTTTGCCTGCCGAATTCGCCATTTAATTAGCTATTGAGCAATGCAAAAACTGCTGATAATACTGAAGGACCTTATATATGAATGCTTAGATAGGTGTCGTATTCCCATAGGTTGATGGGGATCAGCTGAGAGTCAGCTGATGCGAGCTTGACTAAAGGTTTTTGAGCCCGTAAGTCACGACTTCAAACCTCGACTCACGACTTTGTAGCGTTCCAGGCAAGTCACGCCAAACTGCCTGAGCGCAAGGAATTGTGATATCTAGATGTAAACAAACTTCTAGAATAAACTGATTATTTTGTTGTACAAGTGTCATTTGCACTACCCCCTGTATAGGCTCTTCTTCTTCTTCTTCTTCTTCTTGCTTTACGGCGGATCGCAGACTTATAAGTGCATTACCGCCACCTATATCTCAAATGGACCATTGACACTCTATCTACAATCTCCTGATTAACCTACCAACCCACATACAAACACAACAGATTCTTGTACCCGCTTAGATAATATTTTTTTTTTAATAAATAAAACAACACTTATACCTTCTTGTTCAACC